CAAAGGTTTATTGGAACATCTTCAACTGTGACAAGTGAATCTTCATAGTCATTGTTTAACATCTGTATTTTCATGCCTGAGAGAAAAGGTCTCCTGGGAGAGAGAGAGTTGAGAAGATCAGAGTTTATGTGCATGTGTTGCTTTGAGATAAACATTCAACCTTTTTTTCCCCAGGCACAACGTCAACCTCTCTCTTTTAAATGCCTCGTTAGGAGCCGAGACTACTTTTGAAGACAAACTTTTTTTTCCATCTTCTTTACCTTTACTGCCTGTGATGGCGAAAAACACTGATTCAAGCAGCGAGTGAACGAGCAGAGCAAAAAGATTGTTCTCTTCAATTTTCAATCTGAGCTCAGGAGTTTCAGGCTCTCAGGCTCTCTGAGGAAGCCTGAAATCTATTCCTTATATTCCAACTCCCTTTCTTCTCTGTCTGTGCAAAGTCACAATACTTTTTTTATTTGCACACACCAAGATCAAGATTATACAAATATTAAAAGGTGTGTCAGGAGAGTGGAAGTCAACAGGCTTATACAAAGGGACCCTTTCTTAATAGATACAATTTAAAAATATACAATAATAATTTTAGTGTGATATCGTCCACTCGTTAAGAGCGAAGTAGTCAGCCTCTCTCTCTCACTGATGCACCTTTAAGAAGAGTGTGGAGTCACCTGTTGCAGGTAAAACAAAAAGGCATAATTTCTACAGGTTATCGTTTTTAATCATAGAACCAACCAACTTAAGTTCTTTAACCTTTAGTAGTAGATCAGATCAAACAGCACTTTCAAACATTTACAAATGTTTTTACTTTAAATACTGTGCTGGCTTGTTGGTAAAAACATTTCCACCCAAGAGTGTGCAAAAACCAGTTGTCTTTCTTTTGCTGCATTTACCATTTATCTCAGCATTTTCAGATGCAATAAACTTAAATTCAAAAACTTAAATCAAATAATTTACACATTTAATGAGGTGATCTTACTGGTAAAACACACACTTCAAAAAAAGATCTGTGAGACAATGTCCAAATATTTCTCGGCAGCTTTCAGAAAACTTCCAGCCTCAGTGTAGTGCTTACACAGCTTTACAAAGTCTTTTTCTCAGTCCATGGACCCTTGAAGGGGACTGTTCACATCAAAGTATAAATTAACTTAAAGCAAACACACAGTCTTGATTTAGTTCAGTCATTTTGATCTTATCCATAATTACCTCTGTTTGTAAAGTTTCCCATGTGGTCCCATGCAGCTAAAAGAGGTTAGTCCAGCACTTCCTGGGTATTTATCAGATTGATGATGTCATCGCTGACATCACTGGGGCAGACCATCTGAAAGGGTTTTTATTTCTGAGAAATGTTTTCTTTCTAATAGTTTCTTTCATGTTTAAGTTACTGGTAGAATGTAATTTAATAATTTAAAGTTCATTTAGTTGAGTTAATGATCTGAGGTTAGTTTAAGGGTTTATTTAGATGTATTTGCTTTAAGAGAAAAGTGTAAACCCACTGTTTGAGTTGTGCTGCACCTAGCGGCGGCCATTTTGTTAATGATGCCGTCTATAAAGCCAGGTGGCGTGTGTTCTTGCTTCAGGAGAGGTGAGTATGTGCTGCCTTTAATATGGGCCTTAGTGTTATTTAATCATGACTTAAGTTGCCTTATTTACATTGAACTTTTGTTCTTTTGTTAAGTTAACACGTGTTGGTTTAATCACTGAAAATAAATACTCACCTCTTGGAAAAACGTCATCTGTTGAGTTGCTTTTCTACCACCTTTCTAGACACTTGTGCTAACTACTTTACAAACATTAAGATTGACATTTCTTTCCATGTATCCAACTCCGTGAAATGGCGATGTGGCGCGATGTTGAGCTTCTCACGAACAAGGACACGAACACTGTCTGTTTCAAAATCTTCACTGCCACTGAGGTAATGCATATCAATATTTACATGACTTGTAGTGAGACTTTATGGGGCACAATTTCCCTCTGAGTTTCAAAAAATACTTCTGTAGTACAATACAAATGTTTTATTTACTTTTTTTTACTTCTACATACTCTATTAATCCTCCTGTGAAATTGTGAGACATGCTTCTCACACGGATAGGACAGAAGTTTTCCAGGAGAATCCTGGGAGAACAAATTTTGTTGAATATGACATTGTTGTTGGAGAAAGTGCTTCTGTGAGAAGATTAAATTACAGGATCCCTGAGGGCCTGTCGGTCTCACTGAAGAGGGAGGTTGACCTGATGCTGTCCCTGGGGAACATCGTGTGGTGTAACCCAGTGATGCTCGTACCAAAGAAGGATGGACGCATAAAGTTCCTCATTGATGTCACTTACCTGAATAATTTTTTTTTTTATTTGATTACTATCCAACACCAAGAATTGATGAACTGCTTGAAAGGCTAGGAAAGCCTTTCAAGCAGTTCACCATGGGGCCCTTTCCAGTTCACAGTAATGCCATTTGGGTTGCAGGGTGCTCCAGCAACTTTCCAGAGACTCATGGACCAGGTACTTGGTGATTTCTCTGGTTTTGCTGCAGAATATCTGGGTGACATTGTCATTTACCGTAACACGTGGCAGGAACACCTGGACCACCTGCAAGCTGTCTTGGATTGCCTTCATTCTTGCGGGCTGACTGTCAACCCATCGAAGTTCGTCTTTGCTGCTGCAGAGACAGAGTATCTGGGCCATGTCATCGGCAATGGGGTTGTACGCACTCAGGTCAACAAAACCCAGGCCATAGAGTCCTGTCCCCTGCCACAAACAACGAAGCAGCTCCGACCCTTTTTTGGGCTATCCGGCTTCTATCACCGCTTCATACCCCATTTCTCCAACAGGGCTGCTCTTCTCACAGATTTGACTAGATCCTGGATTCCCAATCAGATCGTTGGTTGACGGCCTGCCAGAACAACCCTCCCCCCCACTGTAACTTTTGCTGCTTTGCTAAAGTGCTCATGATGGATAGGCCAGATCTTTGTAATACAGCAATAATTAAGGTATTTTACCTGCTTTTTGTAAAGTGTCTCGCGATAACACTTATGAGTTGACGCTATACAAATAAAAATGTATTGATTGACAGAGGAGGCATTGGCAGCTTTCAGTAATATCCAGCAATCACACACACACACACACACACACACACAGACTCCAAAATAAACAGGCAGGAGTATAATGTATAACTCAAAAGAAGAAGATACGTGTTTTGGGGAAATTCACATGCTGTCAATATCAACCTGTTACACTGACAGAGTATGAGGTTTTTGTTTTTCAACATCGGTTTTCCTTTTATTCCAAGATTCAGCCCAAAACTTCAATTCACCATCAATGATGAGCCGGAGCCCGGAGTGGGGCGGAGTCAGTACAGGAATGCAGCATATAGACAATGTGTGTTATGGAAAATCAACAGGAGAGATACAACAAATCACAATATACATGGGTAACACTTTACAATAAGGTACACACATTTTGCATACTTACTGGGAGACGAATGGGAAACTAACCACTAGATATAATCCGGAGTGCATATGTGAAAACGGCTCTAGGTAACTATTAGTTAACAGGTAGATTTGTGTGGTTTATCCAGCTTTCATTATCCGTTAAATAATAATTCACTACTCTACAACATGTGATGAAGAAGTACTCAATATCTACCCAGTACTGAGTGGTTTTCTAATGGTTACTTGAAACTTTAATCACGTTATTTTTGCATTTCAGCATGAGCATACAAAATAAAAGTTTGGGTTTGGTGCTACATTACACAAATTTCCTACCAACATAACTTGAACTGCTCTTCTGCTGTTGCTCGTTTGGAGCGACAAGTGGTTCATCCATGCCATGATTGATGGTTAGTTTTTCACTGTGCCAAGACACACATGATCAGAACATGTGCTGCTGTGAAATGTTCTTATTCTTCCTGACACAATAAGTGTATAAAAGGCTCAGACAGTAGGTGGCCTTCCTGTTAATTGCTCACGCTCCTCCTGCATGTTGATGACGTAAGCATCTCAAGCTTTTTGCTTCTGCCTTTTCCTTTTCAGTCGCTACATAACACATGACTGTTGACTCTGTTTGAACTGTCTGTATTGTTTAAAAATGATTGTATATGTATAATGGCTGAATAAAATACTCATACATACAGGATCAGTTTGCCAGCGTGCGTGTGTTCAGAGAGGAGAGCGGCAGATTATAAATTCACCGTACTCTGCAACATGATGATGAATCAGTTTATGGACGCCGTCTTGTAGTACTCTTAGTTTACCAGCAGTTGGGGCCTGTGCTACTTGTAAACCCAGGAAGTAAAGTGTATGTGAAGTCGTTAATCTGTCTAAAGAGCTAATTTCTTCCATTTATGTTTGTTGAACTCAAATATTTCTGCCAAATAACTTACTCTAATAATTATAAGGAATATATTATGTTAGAAATGAGTTTTTGTTTTCTAATTAATCTTTGTGCTGAATGTGAACATTGTTATTCATGTCATGTTTGTGGCCCTGTATAAACCAGCTCTCTCAGAACGCGCCGTTTTAGTGTGTGTGTCACTTTAAATGAAATGAACCGAACTGAGTTTTCCCAGTAGACATCACTCCTCTGTAGTGAGAATAAAAATGGCGGATCTGCGCAAAAGTTTTGTTCTAGGCTGGGGGTGGAGTCCATGGGTGGAGCTATCAGTGGAGTTGAGAGGATTTTTAAAAACCAGAATCCCACTGTGACATCACAAGGAGAGCACATTTGAAACGGAGCATTTTTCTCTGTGTTGTAAAATTTATGCAGAACTCAAACAAAGGCCTGGATGGGTTTATTTCACATTTTGTGGGTCAGTAGAGACTCAGGTTACCCAAATATATGTTCAAAAACACTGAAGAAGTGGATTTTTCATAATATGTCCCCTTCAGGATTTTAAAAATCGTTTAGTGTGATAGGCTTTAGCAGAATTAGGACGCTTATGATCTCCTCCCGATAGTTTAGAACTGAAGAAGGTGAAATCACTGAAACAAACAACTTCAAGACGATTTCTTGGTGTGCATACTGTTCATTTATTGGTATGAAGCTTAAACACAGCTTGAGCAAACAGGAGCATCTTAATATATAATTTTCAGGTCACACAGCAAATACATTTTCACATGAACAATGAGGACTTTAAATTTCCAAAGCGAAGCACATTCTTATAAAATCCATTAATTCTAAAAACTGAAAATACAGCATTGAAAAAACACAACAGAAGCAAAATACCTGATAATCACAATTCACACATTTCTTCATTAAATATTCACCATGACGACCGTGTTTAACAGAGGACGTCACACCTACCAGGAGCTAGGGAGTAAGATTTAAAGGTCACATATCCTCCTCCTCTTCAAACAGTTTAAAAAAGTCTCAGAGCTTCCAAAAACATGTGTGAAGTTTCTTGTTCTAAATTCACTCTGGATGCAAGGGGCTACTGCCCTTTGTGATGTCATGAAGGGAACTCTGTCCTGAATTAGTAAGTCGTTCCTGACTCTCTCCCTCTCTCTCCTCTGTTTCTAACTCTATCCACTGTCCTATCTCTAAATAAACACATAAAAGCCCAAAAATAAAAATAAAGAAGAAAATAATTAAGATAAACCTTCCTTTAACTTATTTCAAATAGTTTTGAATGACAGGAAATTAGTTTTTTGTTAGTTTTCATACTTATTTTTTGGACACTCTGGCAGAATTGGCCCCCTCCTGTTATTCATTCTTCTTCAGGATTCTGTTGCTCTTTATTACCACGTGTGAAAGCAAAACGCCTTCGTAGAAATTAGGTTTTTTTTTTTGCTTGGACAAAATTGTTCCCCCTAAATTTGCCTCCCTATCTTTACTGCCTTGGCTCTTGCAGGTTTCTGAGAAACTCCTCAATTTCTCTGTCTTTATTCCTCTCCAGGGTTCCGATGCTTTTCTTACGGAAGTAGGATTTTTCTGGTATTGCTGCTGCCTTCATGTGATACTGTGTCGACCTGTGGTAGGCTTTTCGATCACAGGCTAAGTAATTTGCATATTTGTTGTAAAGCATCTGTTTGTCTGAAGGTTCTGGTGGTTCATTTTTGAGCAGTTTCTGAAATATCTGCTCAGCTTTGGCCTTGCTGTGACGTGACTTTGCATAGATAGCTGCGAGATCTGTTTCGTTTTTGAGTGAAGAGTGAGGGTAAAGAGAGAGCAGCTCCTCGTGGAGAGCGATTGCTCTGTCCATCATGCTTTGTTCTGGATCAGGGTAATTTCTGCTTTTATAAACTATCTTCGATCTGTAGCAGAACGCAACTAATCTTTTCAGATAACGCACATCTGGATGTTCTTTCAGAACTTTCTCTGCCAAATCAATAGCGTCATCAACTGATATGTATTTTATGTAAAGGTGTAGTAAGGCCCACATGCCACTGTTATTGCAGCACAGAGTGCTCACATTTCCAGCCAACTCACGGACTTCATCTCGAATGTTTTCTCCTTCATCAGCAAGTTGCTCAAGGTAGAGCACAGCGAGGTACAAGTTCTCTGGATCCCGTTCCTTGGCTTGTCTCATTTTCTCCAAGAGGTCAGGGTCCAGCCTTGTGTCACTGAAGTTTTGGGCGTTCTTTAACCATATGACATAGCTGGTGTTCCAATCCACCATGTCCGGCTGCATCCTGGCAGCTTTCTCGTAGTAATCAACAACCAGCTTCTTATCCTCTCCGAAGAACATCAGGGTCCAGGCCGTTTCAGCGTAGATCTCTGGATGGAGGTCGTCCTGGGATGGAGATGGGTATTTTTCCATCAGGGCATCAACCTTTGACAGGTAAGCCTGACTCTCCTCTAGATCTCCCAGGTGGTGGTGCAGCCAGGCCAGGTTCCCGTAGTTCACCACTAACCAAGGACCCTCATCTGCGTCTCTCAGCTTGTTGAGGGTCTCTGCAGCCTTCTGAAACAAACTCTTAGCCTCTTCATTTAACCCCAGCTTATACTGAATGAACCCCCACAGGTTGTAACTGTGGCCCAACCATCGATTTCCATCCTCGGTGCGGATGTCTTCCACCTTGTCCCTGAGAAGTAATAGTATTGACCTTTTGCGGTCCAGGTCCCAGGTGAAGTGGCACTGCAGGGACTCCAGTGTGGTTTGACTCTGAGCAGCACTGATGGAGAATAAAAAAACAAACATTTAAACACATCAGCAGCTAGTTTTTTTTGCTTTGAAGTGTGCTATGTTTGGATGTTTACTGTTCATCTCCCATGAAGAAAATAAGATGTTTTAAAGAAGCAATATGTAACTCAGACACCTAGTGTTTAAATGAGTACTGCAGTTAAAATTCTAAACATTGTATGGTCACAAATTAGATGACACTTTGGGTGGCTTTCCCTCCCTAAAGCAACGCCCATACGTAATAATCACCTTTTTATACCAGCTAGGATTGACCCACGATTTACATCTTTGGAGAGGAATGGCCTGCGCTGTCTGGGTGACTTCGAACAATTACGTTCTGCATTCAATTTAAATAGCGCCGACCTTTTTCGATATTTTCAGCTCCGTGATGTTGCTAGGACCCACTCACCGGCATTCCCTCAAGTTCCAAACCCTAGTGGCATTGATCTGGCACTCAAGGCAAGAGCCTTGCCCAAAGGTCAGGTTTCCTACCTTTATGACCTCCTGTTCACAACTAACGAGTCTGCGGTAAATAAGATCAAGGCTGATTGGGAAATCGAATTACAAACCAACCTTTCTGAGGATTTCTGGAAAAATCTCTTGGGTCTGTTAATTCATCTAACACTAACACCTCCAGTCTGGTTAAGAAGGCTCATCAATGCCTCTTTTTCCTGAGGACACTGAAGAGACACCACCTGTCTTCAGCTGTACTGGTGAACTTCTACCGCTGTGTGATCGAGAGCATCCTGAAACTGCTCTGTCACAGACCGTAAGGCACTACAGCGGGTGGTAAAAACCGCCCAGCGTACCAAAAGGTGTCCACTTCCTGCCATTGAGGACGTCCAAAGAAAACGCTTTTCCCCGAATTTGCGGCGAGCTCACAGCATCCTTAAAGACTCCTCCCACCCTGCCCACAGACTGTTTACCCTCCTGCCCTCCGGTAGGCGCTTAAAAGCCTCCGGACCAGAACCAGCAGACTGATCATTTAGTCTATGGCGCTGCGCGAGTTGCGACTAGCAGTAGTGGTCTGTCTTTATTCGTCTGTTTTCTGATGTCGTCAGTGTATAATCGACCAGAAACAACCTGATTTATATCTCACTGCTCGTCGCACACTTCTGGGTATGGAGTTTTCATTCTTAATCATCACATGGACTTTGTTGACTGTGGCTCAGTGTTTGTTTGATCCCTGCCACTCGCATACGGGCCGGATTCAGTATTCTCGGGGATTTCTACTGGATCTAAAGTATCGACAGCAGCCACTGTCGCACCTAATTACCGAAGACTGTTTAACAGTGGATATCTCCGGTCATCGTGATGATTTTAACAAAAAGAACAACAAAGGGAAAGTACGGAAACGAGGGAGACGGGGTGGTGTCCGAGAGAGGCTCAAGCGTCTGAATCTCCACCGTATACCCCTCTCCTCGATGCTGCTCTGTAATGCCCAATCCATCAGAAACAAGATCGACGAGATCTCATTCATCTGGAGAAATTCAGAGACTCGTGCATCATGGCTTTCACCGAGACCTGGCTTACCTCTTCGGACTTGGACACGGATCTAACTCTCTGCGGTTTTGGGACATCGGTGAGGCTTGACAGAAACGTTAACGTCACAGGGAAATCCCAAGGGGGAGGTGTTTGCCTCTATGTAAATCAGCGGTGGTGCAAGAACATCACTGTCAGAGAGACTGTGTGCACTGAGGACATTGAACTGCTGCCCGTATCTGTGCGCCCCTTCTATCTCCCCCGCGAATTTCCCCAAATATTTGTTACTGTCGTGTACATACATCCAAAAGCCAACGCAAGGAATGCAGTAAATACTATTCACAAAGTTACACAAAAACTACAGTCCCTCTCTCCTGATGCACCTTGTTTCATCCTTGGCGATTTCAATCACTGTAACTTGAAATCATTGAGCAACTTTCACCAGTATATTTCTTGCCCCACTAGACTGAACAAAACTATTGACCTGTGTTATGGTTTAGTCAAAGGTGCATATAAGTCGGTTTCCCTGCCCTCTCTTGACTCTTCTGATCACAACACCATCCTTCTTACCCCCATCTACAAACCTCTCCTTAAAAGAGTAAAGTAATCACAAGGACAGTGGAGCTGTGGACTGAAAGTGCTATTGAGGAACTCAAGGGAGCGCTTGAAAGCACAGACTGGGATGTTTTTAATGATGAGTCTGCTGATCTTAATGAGAGGGTTGAGGTGATCCCCTCTTATATTCTTTATCTTAAAGACTCCATCATCCCCACAAAACATGTTAAAGTTAAAGTTTTGTTTCCAAATAGTAAACCCTGGCTAAATAAAGCAGTGAAGGATGCACTGCACAGGAAACATGACACGTTTCTGCATGGTGGGGTTGTTGAGATAGCAGAAGCGAAGAAAGAGGCCAGACATGAAATCAAGAGGGCTAAGCTCCAATATAAGAATAGGGTGGAGGACAGATTTTATAGTAATGACCTAAAGGCAGTGTGGGATGGCATGAAAACCATGACTTGCCAGGACAACAAGAAAAATGAGTGGATTAACATGGACGGTTTTAAATCACAGACAGAGCTTGCATATGCACTGAATGATTTTTATCTACGTTTTAATGATGAATATGATTTTACGTATGTGCGTGGTGACTTGTTCAACATGTTGAGTGATGGTGCTGCCACCTCTCAGGCCCCTTCTGACGCTAGTATAAGTGTTCATTCTGTCAGATCCATGTTTAAAAAATGTAACATTAGGAAAAGCCCTGCAATCTGCAAAAAGGGCCTCCAGAGACTCTACTTTCTGCGCAGAATTAACACTTTTAATGTGGACAAGACACTGATGGTTTTATTCTACCGATCTTTTATAGAGTCAATTTTAACCTTTTGTTTTATCTCATGGTATGGTAACCTTTTTGTTCAGAACAAAAATCGTCTTTCCAGTATTGTCAATACAGCCAGTAAAATAATCGGCGCTCAGCAGCTTTCATTGTCAGAAATCTGGAATAGACAAGTTGTTAGAAAAGCAAAGTCTAAACATTCGTATGCAAGTCAGATACTCACCTCATCTTTCTGCTGTTTCTTCCTCTCAGTCGTTTTCTGAAGATGACTTAGTCGAGCAGATGTCTTGATGTTGCTCTGTGGTTACAGTCGCTCCAGCTTCAGCTCTCTAGTGTGGATGGCGTGATGATGTGCAGCAGCAGCTTTAAATGTCCGTGACAGAGGGGTGGCACTTTCCTTACCAGCAGGATGTTATGAGTTTCATTTCTTAAGAATTGAAACTGAAAGCCTCAATATGTTGCAGGGCTCTCAAGTGTGTGTGTATGTGTGTGTGTGTGTGTGTGTGTGTGTGTGTGTGTGTGTGTGTGTGTGTGTGTGTGTGTGTGTGTGTGTGTGTGTGTGTGTGTGTGTGTGTGTGTGTGTGCGTGCGTGCGTGCGTGCGTGCGTGCGTGTGTGATTACGTTTAGTGTTGTTCATTGTAAGTGTTAGTGGCAGGTTTGGAGGCCTTCAGCACAGGGGGTTGGTGGCTCCCATTTGAAACACTGTGGTTCCAGGCCAGCCATTTTGACTGTCATGATTGGCGAAAGTGTTCCATTCAGTGCCAAGCTGTTTCTTGTTTTGGTCTTGTTGAGGCCGACCATGGAGAAAACCCTCTCTGCATCCGCATTTGAGTGTGGGAGCACTAAAACTAATGCTGCTGTCTTAGATAGCCTCCCAAACTGGCTCAAACCGGTCACCTTTGAAAAAAGGAACCAACTATTACTCAAATGTTTTGCTTTTATTATGTCAATTAATTATGTGTATGTCAGGTGGTGCCAAATATTTCTTGCCTTGCTCTTGGCTGAGGACATACTCCCCCAAAACTCCTCAACATTAAAGGTGGTGGGATCTTGGGGCATGGGGATCTCCATGAGTTGATACTCCAGGAACTCCTCACTCACCTTGTCCTGTTCCTGTGGCCCATGGAAAGGAAGTAGTTCCTGAAATCTAAAAAGAGCACCTTGTGTAAAGAACTGATTAAGATACCGTGGGAGAAAAAACAGGATTTGTTTTGTGACCATCATTAAACTAAACAATTTATTCAGTAGATTGAAACTCTGGAAAATGTGGAAACCCTTGCCTGTCAACAAAATAAAGGACATCTTCCACCCCACACTCAGCACTCTGCTGCACATCCAGGAATTTAGCATGCTTCAGAAAGGCCTCCTTCAGGGGGAGTTTGTTGATGCTGTACTCCACAGCCCTGATCAGAAACGCCAGTGCTGCCTGCTGCAATAGCTGCACCTCCTGAGGTGTGATGTCTCCAGCCTCAAGGAGCCTTTTGAGGGTAGCTCTGGTGGTGAAGCCAACATTCAGCTTTTCTCCTATCAGAGAGAGAAAAGAAAGAGATAAAGCACATTAAGTACAGATAGTTTAAACAATATCTATGGGTTTTACCCATAGACTACATGTACATTTTATGCCCTTTCCATCACATCAGAGATCTCACTCAACTCATAACAACAATCTTCACAAAAAAAGTGTATTTTTGGACAATGAGCATACAGGTTTATCTCCTTACGAGACTTGAAAGCATTACCTGGCAGTTGGTTTAGTGTCATTGTAGAGGATGTCATGGACTTGTCGGCCCTGTAGTGCTATCGGCTTCATGAACCTTGCACACAGTTTCAAGATGAACTTCGTCATCTGCAAAATTGTAGTTCATAAAAGATTTCCATGTATTACTCGAAAAAGGACATATCAGCCAATGAAAAAATAGGCAGACATACTGGGCAGCAGGATAGCCCAACCTTTCCATTTTACCTCTCCATGGAGCAGGAAGATGGAGGACTTTTCTCTCTGGAGTAGAAGGTTCAGTGTGGAGAACATTGGCAGCGTTGCTTGAAAGAAGAGGAGATAGACTTCTGTCAGGGGGTTGGAAAATGCATCCACCAGGCTTAACCATCGCACTGAAATGTGCAGCAGCATTTCCATGTACTCGCTCCCATGGAAGTCACAAAATTCTGTAAAATATATATGACATCAATAGCAAACAAATAGAAAATGTCTGCATTTTGTTGTATAACACTAGAGCTGGTTGAATCACAAACCTGCTAGGTAACCTTTACGGTTGGTGCTGCTCTTAAACCAGTACCCAACATCCACAGTCAGATCCTCTGGATCAAATCCGGATATCTGCAAAACATGAAATCAAAGATTTATTACAACCATTTTCCCTCAGCAGTTGAGTTTAGAGCTGTTTCTTTGGTTCGATGTCCCTTGCCTTCTACATGCCTGCTTACGTCCCTCATGCCTTGATGGGCACAGGAGTTCTCTTGCCTGCAGATAGAGCACCAGTAGTAGGAGCTGGTAGTTCCCATTGTGAAGAATGGCCATTGGGTTGACCATTCAAGGAACACCTATAGGTGGCCGCTCCACATACTCCTCTCTTTTTCCCTTTTTCCAGTGGCTTCTCCACTGTCTACTCTATGGTGTCCTCCACCATCTCTTTCACTGACTCTTCCCCTACTGACACCCTAGCTGTCTCCTCCACTGCCTCCTCCTTCATTTCTTCCACTGCCTCCTCCACAGTCTCCTCCACTGCCTCATCTACTGCCTCCACTATTGCCTTCTCCACAGTCTCCTCCTCTGACCTGGCAGCCTTTTTAGGGAGCTGACCCTTCAGAGCGAAGCATGGAAGAATGCTCATTTGCCTCTTCCCTGACATCTTTGAAACAGACAAAGTTATTATTAATACTATGCATGGCCAGGATATAAAATATAATGAAATATTATGATTAAAAGTGGCCGACTGACTAAAATTGACTTTGCATTTGACATTTCATTTTCTGTATCTGCACAAAAATGGTCCAGCCTATTTCAAAATATGACTAGGTCAGGGCCCGTATTCACAAAGAATCTTTAGGCACATGAGTGACTTACAAAAACATCCAAATTGCAAGGGAATAATTGTGCTTCTGTTTCAATAGCCCACGTCAGCAACAACAATTAGATAGCCTTAAATGAAATTACTTTTATGCAAAGTGTCAGCGTACGAATGCATGTAGAAGTAGCTTACTGCAAAGATGGACATACTGGATCAATCCGACGGTCTAGTGCAGGGGTAGACAACACGTGACCCTTTAACTCTATTCTAGTGGCTCCCTGGCTTTGTTGAAAAATGGAAATCAATAAAACATTTTTATATATAATTTATTCAGTCATCAAGCTTCAAGCTATACTTGAAGCATAGCATATGGGCTATATGTGTCTGTATAGCCTAGTCTGCATTTTCATGATGACAATTGAAAATACAGTACAGCCAACATGAGTAGGCCTATATGCCGAGAATGACATACAATGGCCGGTTAATAAAGACAGAAATGTGTCAACTATTTGTGTTTAAATGTTTCCAACATCGTTGCGGCCCCAAACTTGATTTTTTTATTTATTATTTCTGGTCAAAAAATGTCATTTTAGACCCCTGGTCTAGTGTATTCTGTTCATTTCATTGAAGCCACTCGTCTGTAGGCCTAACAGCTGCTGCTTCACACCACTGATGTGCACCGACACTGACCTGTCACTCATCGACCTGTCACTCATCGACCTGTCACTCATCGACCCGTCACTCATCGACCTGTCACTCATCAGCCCATCACGGAGCGAAGTGAATGAGAGCAAGCTTGTGCACGAGCCCATCTTAAGTTGGTATTAATTATCCTTGCTAGAAGTTGGTCTCAGCGGCTTTGTGAATTACTTACTTAAGAAAAAACTCCTACATAAAAACTTTTAGTGTAGTTTAGAAGTACTCTTAGAGGTGTAACAGATTACTGTGTTTGTTATATGTACTGTATATCTCATTCGCTTTTACAGTGAGGTGTCCCTAGAGAGTTACCGTAGCTGCTGTAAAGCAGTTGTTGTTGTTGTTGTTATCCTGTTTGCGGTACACAGGTTTGTGTGTAATAAAGTGGAAGCCGTAGATAAAGAAGCTCTCCGCCTATGTGCCGTTTATTGTTTTCTCATTAAGTGTATCCGGTCCGACGAACCCAGAAAGCTCCATTACATTGGTGGCAGCGGTGGTTCTTTCTGTCGGTTACCGGTTAATCTTTGTTTTGCCGTGCCATCTACGTTCACGCTGCCGTTCATTAGCTTAGCTTCCTCAGTATAGCTAGCCCGCTAACCTGTTGAGCAGCGTAACGTTACTAAGTAGCGGACATGTGGTGCGGTTATGACGACCCTTTGAAACCCGGCACAGGGAGAATTACCGGCAGTTCGCCCGGCAGAGATGTTTGTGTTGACCTGCCTACTCCTTTCGCCGGCGACGGAAACCAGAGTTTTCTTGGCTGGGTGAGACAGTTGGAGGTGGCGGTCAGAGCGGCCCTGGGCTGCGGCAGCGACTATAATGATGAGCTGGTGGCCATCCTCCCCACCCGACTGTGCAAATCGACGTTTCTGCTGTGGGACAGCCTTCCTGAAGCAGTTAAGTCGGACTATGCTGCTGTTGAAGAGAGACTGGGGATAGCTTTTGGGCAGAGACAGTATATGGACCGCTTCAGAGCTAACTTATCTGCTCGAGCATGAGCTCCCGGGGAGACCTTGGAGTTGTATGCAGCTGATGTGAGCCGGCTCGTCGCGGAGGCGTTCCCGGATTATGGGGCCGTTGCACGGATAGAGGAGAAGTTTCGTCGCTTCCTTGCTGGCCTGGATCCGGTGCTGAAAGCCAAGTGTCTTGAGCAGGGTGCTATGGATTTGGAGGAAGCTTTGACCATTGCGAAGCGTTGGGAAAATGCCAGAGAGGCTCTGCAGAGAGAATGTGTGAGTACCTATCTGGTCACCCAGCTACCTGTAGGAACTTCAACTGTGCAGTCTGTGTCAGTGACGGATAATCTGCAGAGAGCTGTAAATAAATTGACAGATGAGATGTGTTTCATGAGGATGGAAATGAGATTTGTGATGAAAATCAAAGACTGAGAGCTGGGAAATAAGATAGACGAGAGCAATTGTTCCGCTCACCTTCAAGGGGACGCTGCAGCTGCACCTGTGGTGAGTGGGGATGCCAGTCAAACTTTAGACCGCCCCACTTCTTATGTAAGGGGGGTGGTTGAAGGAACTGAGGTGGCTGTGCTGGTGGACTCTGGGGCCACTGTGTCGTTGATCAGTGAGAGCATTCGCATGTCTGTCCCTGCCCTGCGGAGCACGCCCCTGAGGAAGAATTACATTGACTCTCGTGCAGTGAATGAACAAATCCTGGATACGCTTGTACCTGGCTGCTGTAATGTGTCCCGAGCTGATGTGGTGACCATTCCCCGCTTGAGCGAAGCCTTGGTGCCAGGCAACGTCCGTTACCCCACGGGGGCCAGCGTTCCCACTGCAGACCTTGGCGGCTATTTGGAGCCCAACATTCCTGAGATGACTGGACTGGTGGTAGCTCACACAGTGACCAGGGTGAAAGATGGTGTGACTGTGGCTCGTGTCCTCAAGCCCACTGGTAGAGCTTTTGAGCTTAAACAGGGTCTTCACTTGGGTGAATTCTACCCAGTTCAGGAGACTGATGTGACACCACTTGTTCCCCCCTGTAACTGAGTGATGTTGATGACAGCCTCGACGCCCTCTCCGGCTCTGGCCGTGGCTTGTACCAATGGAGGGCCATGCCGATGGGTCCGACTAATTCACCGGCCACCTTCCAGCGCATGATGGAGCTGATCCTCAGAGGTCTGCCATGGCACATCTGCATAGTGTATCTGGATGATATATTAATATACAGTCGCACATTCATTGACCACCTCGCCAACCTGGAGGAGGTCTTGACCAGGATAAAGTCTGCGGGCCTGAAGCTAAATCCTGGCAAGTGCCACTTTGCCAGGGATCACATGGTGTTCCTGGGCCATGTGGTGTCCAGACAGGGCCTCCAACCTGATCCCTGGAACACCGAAAAGGTGAGCTCCTGGTCAACTCCCCGCTCTCCTTCTGAGGTTAGAGCTTTTGTGGGTCTCTGTTCATATTACAGGCAATTTGTGAAGAATTTGTCACAATTTGCAGCCCCACTTAACCGCTTTGCTGGGAAAATTTTGCCTTTTGAATGGACTGCTGAGTGTGAGACGGCTTTCACATATCTTAAATGGGTGCTCACATCTTCTCCAGTGGTCACATTGCCCAGCTTTGCACTCCCGTTCAAAGTCTAAACGGATGCATCTAAGGACTCTGTTGGGGCGGTGACGGCTTGGAAAGGGTCATTGTCTATGCCAGCCAGGCTCTCACGCATGCACAGAAGCGTTGGTCCACCTTTGAAGCTGTGGGAGCTGTGGGCCGTGGTGTGGGCTGTGCATGAGTTTAGCCATTATGTGGGACTGTCTGCCTTTACAATTGTGACTGATCATCGCCCATTGCTGAGGCTCAGGCACATGGCCATTGATAATAACCCCACAGGACGGAGGGGTCGCTGGGTGCTGGAGTTGGACCCTTTCAACTGGACCATTATGCACAAGGACGGCCCTAGCAATAAAAATGCGGACGCTCTTTCCCGCAGGCCCGTTTCCCCTGGCTCTGTTGGGGCGACAACAGACCGTGGTATGCATGGTTGGGAGGCGCGTGTCCCTGCTGATGTGCTTGTGCCTGGTGTTGTTTCAGACTCTCGGGGGGCTGGATCTCTGCCATGGTATGTGTCATCCATGGTGGATGGACTGAAGGCTGCTTTCTCAGTCGCCAGGCTCAATGCTGCAGAGGCTCATGAGAGGAAAAAACTGTATTATGACGCTGATGTTTGCCACCGTGCCTATGAGGCGGGAGAGATGGTGTGGTTGAATAATCCCACTGAGAGCCGCACGAAGCTGGCACCACATTGGAAGGGCCCATACCGGGTCATGGAGGCGTTGGCGTCTGGAGGTGAGGCTGCACTGACTTACCGCATCAGCAACCCTCTGGACTCTCTGGAGAGGACTCAGGTGGTTCACCATGACAGGCTGAAACGTTATACTTTACCAGTGCCTACAGGGACTGTTCCCCTTCTACCCTTAAAGTATCTCCTCTTTTGGGGGTTTCGCCACTCCCGTTGTCGCCGCAAATGGTTGAGCAACAATTGGCTGGGGGTGTGGACATCAGTCTGTATGGGGAGTTTTCAGGGCCTGAACTAGTGCAGTCACGCAGGGGGCGTGTCCTGCGACCACCTTCACGTCTTCAGGATTTTGTGAGGTTCTGAGTTTGATGCTTGGTGTTTGTTTCCCTCTTTCTGGGATGTTTTTTCTTTCATGTATTTTTGCTGTTCATGTTAAGTACATTTGGGTGACAACTGTGATACAGAGGGGTTTTTTTCATGCTCAGGTTAAATTCTGCTAGGGGACTGTTTTGAGAGGTTTCCTGTTGTCTCATGGGTGCCTGTGCCAATGTTTTATGTGAAACGGGGACGTTTCAAGTTGAGGGGGGGACGTATGTAACAGATTGTTGTGTTTGTTATATGTACTGTATATCTCACTCGCTTTTAGAGTGAGGTGTCCCGAGAGAGTTACCGTAGCTGCCATAAAGCAGTTGTTATTGTTGTTATCCTGTGTGTGTGTAATAAAGTGGAAGCCGTGGATAAAGAAGCTCCCCGCCTATGTGCCGTTTATTGTTTTCTTATTAAGTGTATCCGGTCCAACGAACCCAGAAAGCTCGGTTACAGAGGTAAGAGAAAAGCTTTGTGAATACGGGTCCTGATCTAGGACTAAAAAACAGGTGTCAGAATAGCTGCTGAAATTAACAAGAATTCAACTGGCTGTCTAGTTCACACACTCTGGTCAAACTGTTAGCTAATATTACTGATTACCAGCTGACTGGACACAATATTCCCCAACATACAGAAATCAAATGATGAGATGACTTACTGTATTAATACCATATGGTCCTCTTCTCCATAGACTGTAAATATAACGGTCCTCTCCCACGTCGATCAGTCTGTACTTCAGCGAGCGTCTGAATCAAAGTGCGAGCGTCTTCTTTGTAACCAGAATGTAGCGTTGTTGTAGCGGGAATATCTAAATCTTACCCGGATACAGCAATGCTATTTATTGATTGGTTGTTGGGGTAGCCATATATATATATATATTTTTTTTGATTAACTGGTGCGTGGCAAGCTCCTTCTGATCTCTATGGGAAACCCGCTTGATTCATATCTGTTCCACTGTTAAAAAAAATAGCGGCGCAATTTGGTGGGCGTTATCCTGGTAATTTATGCGTGAGAAATACAAGGTGTGGCGTGTGAGCGTGTGAACAGTTTGAAATGTGTGTCTCTCACTCCCAATGCGTGAGATTTAGAGCATTGAAGGTTGTCAGTTTTGATGCGCTTTGGCGCCATCAGGAGGTCTCTGAGTGCAACTGCAGTGTCATAAAAACGGTCACGCCTCCCCCTCTGACACCACGTGCATTTGTTGACAAACAAAGGGTGAGGAAGCCGGCAGAGACGCTGTGAGAAGATGAGGAACCGCGCAGACTCAAAAGGTACAGTAATATTACCAGATTTTGATGGAGCCTGAGTGTCTGCAGCCCGTTGTCTAGTTTGTTTATTCAACTGTTACCATGACAACTATAGGTCGTGGATAAATGGCTACATAGATCGGTTTGTAAGGTTACAAACAATTTGGAGACAAAAGTAAAGCTGCTAAACGTGAGACAATGATGACGTCACTGGTAATGATGCAGCTCGGAGTGACTATGGGGTTTCCTATTGCGCGAGACGCTAGCTTAACATTCAGTACATTAGCCGTTAACATTCACGACTAATGAATAACTTTATGAATATTATTCAAAACTCCGCAGAACTGATGCGGGATGAATCGAATATGATCAGTAACTGAAAACCACAGTCTGATTACATCTAAACAACTAAAAAAATACTTTAAAATGTGTTTATCGACGGAGTGTGAATCATCATTAACTTACCTCCGACCAAGCTGTCAACGGCTCTGACCACATTCCTGACGTCATCACACACACTGTGGTAATTCTAGAGTCTGTTGACTCTGTTTGAACTGTCTGTATTGTTTAAAAATGATTGTAGATGTATAATGGCTGAATAAAATACTCATACATACATGATCAGTTTGCCAGCGTGCGTGTGTTCGGAGAGGAGAGCGGCAGATTATAAATTCATCGTACTCTGCAACATGATGAATCAGTTTATGGACGCCATCTTGTAATACTCTTAGTTCACCAGCAGATGGCGCATGTGCTAGTTGTAAACCCAGACAGTAAAGCGTATGTGAAGTTGTTAATCTGTCTAAAGAGCTCATTTCTTCCATTTATGTTCGTTGAACTCGAATATTTCTGCCAAATTACTTACTCTAATAATTAAAAGGAATATATTATGTTAGAAATGAGTGTTTGTTTTCTATTTAATCTTTGTGCTGGATGTGAACATTGTTATTCATGTCATGTTTGTGACCCTGTATAAACCAGCTCTCTCAGAACACTCCATTTTAGTGTGTGTGTCTCTTTAAATGTAATGATGAAATCGTTTAGTGTGATAGCACTAAACGATAGCAGCTTTAGCAGAATTAGGACGCTTATGATCCGACGAGGCTTAAATTTCTAGCGCCATCCTTCTTCAGTTTAGAACTGAAGTTAGTTAGTTTTTATCCTTATTTTTTGGACGCCCTGGCAGAATTGGCCCCCTCCTGTTTTTCATTCTTCTCCAGGATTCTGTTGCTCTTTATTACCACGTGTGAAAGCAAAACGCCTTTGTAGAATTTTTTTTTTTTTTTTTTTTGCTTGGACAAAATTGTACCCCCTAAATTTGCCTCCCTATCTTTACTGCCTTGGCTCTTGCAGATTTCTGAGAAACTCCTCTATTTCTCTGCACATTATGCTTCGGTATTTATTCTCCTCTAGGATTCTGATGCTGTTCTCACGGTTGAAGGATTTTTCTGGTATTGCTGCTGCCTTCATGTGATACTGTATCGACCTGTGGGAGTCATTTAGATTAAAGTATAAATGATTTGCATATTTGTTGTAAAGCATCTGTTTGTCTGAAGGTTCTGCAGGTTCATTTTTGAGCAGTTTCTGAAATATCTGCTCAGCTTTGGCCTTGCTGTGATGTGACTTTGCATAGATAGTTGCGAGGTCTGTTTCCTTTTTGAGTGAAGAGTGAGGGTAAAGAGAGAGCAGCTCCTCGTGGAGAGCGATTGCTCTGTCCATCATGCTTTGTTCTGGGGAACTACAGCTTTTATAAACGATCCTCCATCTGTAGCAGAACGCAACTAATTTCTTCAGATAACGCACATCTGGATGTTCTTTCAAAACTTTCTCTGCCAAATCAACGGCCTCATCAACTGATATGTATTTTATGTAAAGGTTTAGTAAGGCCCACATGCCACTGCCACTGCAGCACAGAGTGCTCACATTTCCAGCCAACTCACGGACTTCATCTTGAATGTTTTCTCCTTCATCAGCACGTTGGTCAAGGTAGAGCGCAGCGAGGTACAAGTTCTCTGGATCCCGTTCCTTGGCTTGTCTCATTTTCTCCAAGAGGTCAGGGTCCAGCATTGGGTCACTGAAGTTTTGGGCGTTCTTTAACCATATGACATAGCTGGTGTTCCAGTCCACCATGTCCGGCTGCATCCTGGCAGCTTTCTCGTAGTAATCAACAACCAGCTTCTTATCCTCTCCGAAGAACATCAGGGTCCAGGCCTTTTCAGCGCAGATCTCTGGACGGAGGTCGTCCTGTGATGGAGATGGGTATTTTTCCATCAGGGCATCAACCTTTGACAGGTAAGCCTGACTCTCTGCTTGATCTCCCAGGTGGTGGTGCAGCCAGGCCAGGTTCCCGTAGTTCACCACTAACCAAGCACCCTCATCTGCCTTTCTCAGCTTGTTGAGTGCCTCCGTAGCCTTCTGAAACAAACTGTTAGCCTCTTCATTTAACCCCAGTTTATACTGAATGAACCCCCACAGGTTGTAATTGTGGCCCAGCTTTCTATTTCCCTTCTCTTCGCTGAAGCCCTCCATCTTGTGCGTGAGGCGTAACAGTTTCGGCCTGCTGTGGACCAGGTCCCAGGTGAAGTGGCACTGCAGGGACTCCAGTGTGGTTTGACTCTGAGCAGCACTGATGGAGAATAAAAAAACAAACATTTAAACACATCAGCAGCTAGTTTTTTTTGCAGTGTGCTATGTTTGGATGTTTACTGTTCATCTCCCATGAAGAAAATAAGATGTTTTAAAGAAGCAATATGTAACTCAGACACCTAGTGTTTAAAATGAGTACTGCAGTTAAAATTCTAAACATTGTATGGTCACAAATTAGACGACAGTTTGGGTGGCTTTCCCTCCCTAAAGCAACGCCCATACGTAATAATCACCTTTTTATACCAGCTAGGATTGACCCACGATTTACATCTTTGGAGAGGAATGGCCTGCGCTGTCTGGGTGACTTATACATTAATGATGTTTTGCCAGTTTCGAACAATTACGTTCTGCATTCAATTTAAATAGCTCCGACCTTTTTCGATACTTTCAGCTTCGTGATTTTGCTAGGACCCACTCACCGGCATTCCCTCAAGTTCCAAACCCTAGTGGCATTGATCTGGCACTCAAGGCAAGAGTCTTGCCCAAAGGTCAGGTTTCCAACCTTATGACCTCCTGTTCACAACTAACGAGTCTGCGGTAAATAAGATCAAGGCTGATTGGGAAATCGAATTACAAACCAACCTTTCTGAGGATTTCTGGAAAAAGGCTCTTGGGGCTGTTAATTCATCTAACACTAACACCTCCAGTCTGGTTAAGAAGGCTCATCAATGCCTCTTTTTCCTGAGGACACTGAAGAGACACCACCTGTCTTCAGCTGTGCTGGTGAACTTCTACCGCTGTGTGATCGAGAGCATCCTGACCAGCAGTGTCTCAGTCTGGTACGGAAACTGCTCTGTCACAGACCGTAAGGCGCCACAGCGGGTGGTAAAAACCGCCCAGCGTATCACAAGGTGTCCACTTCCTGCCATTGAGGACGTCCAAAGAAAACGCTGTCTGCGGCGAGCTCACTGCATCGTTAAAGACTCTTCTCACCCTGCCCACAAACTGTTTACCCTCCTGCCCTCCGGTAGGCGCTTCAAAAGCCTCCGGACCAGAACCAGCAGACTGATCATTTAGTCTATGGCGAGTTGCGACTAGCAGTAGTGGTCTGTCTTTATTCGTTTGTTTTCTACTGTCGTCAGTGTATAATCGACCAGAAACAACCTGATTTATAGCTCACTGCTCGTCGCACACTTCTGGGTATGGAGTTTTTATTCTTAATCATCACGTGGACTTTGTTGACTGTGGCTCAGTGTTTGTTTGATCCCTGCCACTCGCATACGGGCCGGATTCAGTATTCTCGGGGATTTTTACTGTTTCTAAAGTATCGACAGCAGCCACTGTTGCACCTAATTACCGAAGACTGTTTAACAGTGGATATCTCCGGTCATCGTGATGATTTTAACAAAAAGAACAACAAAGGGAAAGTACGGAAACGAGGGAGACGGGGTGGTGTCCGAGAGAGGCTCAAGCGTCTGAATCTCCACCGTATACCCCTCTCCTCGATGCTGCTCTGTAATGCCCAATCCATCAGAAACAAGATCGACGAGATCCAGGCCAACGTCATTCATCTGGAGAAATTCAGAGACTCGTGCATCATGGCTTTCACCGAGACCTGGCTTACTTCTTCGGACTTGGACACGGATCTAACGCTCTGCGGTTTTGGGACATCGGTGAGGCTTGACAGAAACGTTAACGTCACAGGTTATTTCAATCACTGTAACTTGAAATCATTGAGCAACTTTCACCAGTATATTTCTTGCCCCACCAGACTGAACAAAACTATTGACCTGTGTTATGGTTTAGTCAAAGGTGCATATAAGTCGGTTTCCCTGCCCTCTCTTGGCTCTTCTGATCACAACACCATCCTTCTTACCCCCATCTACAAACCTCTCCTTAAAAGAGTAAAGTAGTCACAAGGACAGTGGAGCTGTGGACTGAAAGTGCTATTCATCATTAAAACGTAGATAAAAATCATTCAGTGCATATGCAAGCTCTGTCTGTGATTTAAAACCGTCCATGTTAATCCACCCATTTTTCTTGTTGTCCTGGCCAGTCATGGTTTTCATGCCATCCCACACTGCCTTTAGGTCATTACTATAAAATCTATCCTCCACCCTATTCTTATATTGGAGCTTAGCCCTCTTGATTTCATGTCTGGCCTCTTTCTTCGCTTCTGCTATCTCAACAACCCCACCATGCAGAAACGTGTCATGTTTCCTGTGCAGTGCATCCTTCACTGCCCCTTCTAACGCTAGTATAAGTGTTCATTCTGTCAGATCCATGTTTAAAAAATGTAACATTAGGAAAAGCCCTGCAATCTGCAAAAAGGGCCTCCAGAGACTCTACTTTCTGCGCAGAATGAACACTTTTAATGTGGACAAGACACTGATGGTTTTATTCTACCGATCTTTTATAGAGTCAATTTTAACCTTTTGTTTTATCTCATGGTATGGTAACCTTTCTGTTCAGAACAAAAATCGTCTTTCCAGTATTGTCAATACAGCCAGTAAAATAATCGGCGCTCAGCAGTTTTCATTGTCAGAAATCTGGAATAGACAAGTTGTTAGAAAAGCAAAGTCTAAACATTCGTATGCAAGTCAGATACTCACCTCATCTTTCTGCTGTTTCTTCCTCTCAGTCGTTTTCTGAAGATGACTTAGTCGAGCAGATGTCTTGATGTTGCTCTGTGGTTACAGTCGCTCCAGCTTCAGCTCTCTAGTGTGGATGGCGTGATGATGTGCAGCAGCAGCTTTAAATGTCTGTGATAGAGGCGTGGCACTTTCCTTACCAGCATGATGTTATGTGAGTTTAATATCTTAAGAATTGAAACTGAAAGCCTCAAGTTGCAGGGCTCTCAAGTGTGTGTGTGTGTGTGTGTGTGTGTGTGTGTGTGTGTGTGTGTGTGTGTGTGTGTGTGTGTGTGTGTGTGTGTGTGTGTGTGTGTGTGTGTGTGTGTGTGTGTGGTGTGGGCATGAGTTTAGACATTATGTGGGACTGTCTGCCTTTACAATTGTGACTGATCATCGCCCATTGCTGGGGCTCAGGCACATGGCCATTGATAATAACCCCACAGGACGGAGGGGTCGCTGGGTGCTGGAGTTGGACCCTTTCAACTGGACCATTATGCACAAGGACGGCCCTAGCATAAAAATGCGGACGCTCTTTCCCGCAGGCCCGTTTCCCCTGGCTCTGTTGGGGCGACAACAGACCACGTTGTGGGCTCAGTGGACTGCTCTCCGGTCTCACCAGGAACATGATCTGACCTACAGACTGCTTATTCTCTCTGCTGCACTAACTCCGAACTGCAGGTTCATGTCAAGACATCCCATGGGGGGATCTCTGGTTGCCGCCCTCTGCAACGGGTGGCAGCAGATATTCTGGAACTGTCTGTGACATCTCGGGGGAATAGGTACGTGCTGGTTGTGGAGGATTATTTTACTAATTTGTTAATGTGTACGCCCTTCCAAACCAGACTGCTCACACGGTTGCTCACTGTCTTTTTGAGGATTATGTTTTGGTGCATGGAGTCCCTGAGGTCCTGCACACAACCACGGCCGCCAGTTTGAGGCGACGTGATTCAGGGTCTCTGTCAGATGTTGGGGATCAAGAAAACATGCACCATGGCATACAATCCGAAGTCGGACGAATGGTGGAACGCCATAATCGTACTCTGATTGACCAGCTTGCTAAGATGTTGCTCTCTCGTGGGGGCAAATGGGACAGTTATGTAAAACAGGTCGCTTTTGCATACGTGGTATGCATGGTTGGGAGGCGCGTGTCCCTGCTGATGTGCTTGTGCCTGGTGTTGTTTCAGACTCTCGGGGGCGTGGATCTCTGCCATGGTATGTGTCATCCATGGTGGATGGACTGAAGGCTGCTTTCTCAGTCGCCAGGCTCAATGCTGCAGAGGCTCATGAGAGAAAAAAACTGTATTATGACGCTGATGTTTGCCACCGTGCCTATGAGGCGGGAGAGATGGTGTGGTTGAATAATCCCACTGAGAGCTTCACGAAGCTGGCACCACATTGGAAGGGCCCATACCGGGTCATGGAGGCGTTGCGTCTGGAGGTGAGGCTGCACTGACTTACCGCATCAGCAACCCTCTGGACTCTCTGGAGAGGACTCAGGTGGTTCACCATGACAGGCTGAAACGTTATACTTTACCAGTGCCTACAGGGACTGTTCCCCTCCTACCCTTAAAGTATCTCCTTTTGGGGGTTTCGCCACTCCCGTTGTCGCCACAAATGGTTGAGCAACAATTGGCTGGGGGTGTGGACATCAGTCTGTATGGGGAGTTTTCAGGGCCTGAACGCAGGGGGCGTGTCCTGCGACCACCTTCACGTCTTCAGGATTTTGTGAGGTTCCGAGTTTGATGCTTGGTGTTTGTTTCCCTCTTTCTGGGATCTTTTTTTTTTTATGTATTTTTGCTGTTCAAGTACATTTGGGTGACAACTGTGATACAGAGGTTTTTTTTTCATGCTCAGGGTAAATTCTGCTAGGGGACTATTTTGAGAGGTTTCCTGTTGTCTCATGGGTGCCTGTGCCAATGTTTTATGTGAAACGGGACATTTCAAGTTTAGGGGGGACGTATGTCACAGATTGTGACAGATTGTTTGTTTGTTATATGTACTGTATATGAGGTGAGGTGTCCCGAGAGAGTTACCGTAGCTGCCATAAAGCAGTTGTTATTGTTGTTATCCTGTTACACTGGTACACAGGTGTGTGTGTAATAAAGTGGAAGCCGTGGATAAAGAAGCTCCCCGCCTATGTGCCGTTTATTGTTTTCTTATTAAGTGTATCCGGTCCAACGAACCCAGAAAGCTCGGTTACAGAGGTAAGAGAAAAGCTTTGTGAATACGGGTCCTGATCTAGGACTAAAAAACAGGTGTCAGAATAGCTGCTGAAATTAGCAAGAATTCAGGCTGGCTGTCTAGTTCACACACTCTGGTCAAACTGTTAGCTAATATTACTGATTACCAGCTGACTGGACACAATATTCCCCAACATACAGAAATCAAATGATGAGATGACTTACTGTATTAATACCATATGGTCCTCTTCTCCATAGACTGTAAATATAACGGTCCTCTCCCACGTCGATCAGTCTGTACTTCAGCGAGCGTCTGAATCAAAGTGCGAGCGTCTTCTTTGTAACCAGAATGTAGCGTTGTTGTAGCGGGAATATCTAAATCTTACCCGGATACAGCAATGCTATTTATTGATTGGTTGTTGGGGTAGCTATATATATATTCTTTTTTTGATTAACTGGTGCGTGGCAAGCTCCTTCTGATCTCTATGGGAAACCCACTTGATTCATATCTGTTCCACTATTAAAAAAAATGGGTTAGGGTTAGGCGTTAAGGCGTATCCTGGTAATTTATGCGTGAGAAATACAAGGTGTGGCGTGTGAGCGTGTGAACAGGTTGAAATGTGTGTCTCTCACTCCCAATGCGTGAGATTCAGAGCATTGAAGGTTGTCAGGTTTTGATGCGCTTTGGCGCCATCAGGAGGTCTCTGAGTGCAACTGCAGTGTCATAAAAACGGTCACGCCTCCCCCTCTGACACCACGTGCATTTGTTGACAAACAAAGGGTGAGGAAGCCGGCAGAGACGCTGTGAGAAAAATGAGGAACCGCGCAGACTCAAAAGGTACAGTAATATTACTAGATTTTGATGGAGCCTGAGTGTCTGCAGCCCGTTGTCTAGTTTGTTTATTCAACTGTTACCATGACAACTATAGGTCGTGGATAAATGGCTACATAGATCGGTTTGTAAGGTTACAAACAATTTGGAGACAAAAGTAAAGCTGCTAAACGTGAGACAATGATGACGTCACTGGTAATGATGCAGCTCGGAGTGACTATGGGGTTTCCTATTGCGCGAGACGCTAGCTTAACATTCAGTACATTAGCCGTTAACATTCACGACTAATGAATAACTTTATGAATATTATTCAAAACTCCACAGAACTGATACGGGATGAATCGAATATGATCAGTAACTAAAAACCACAGTTTGATTACATCTAAACAACTAAAAAAATACTTTAAAATGTGTTTATCGACGGAGTGTGAATCATCATTAACTTACCTCCGACCAAGCTGTCAACGGCTCTGACCACATTCCTGACGTCATCACTCACACTGTGGTAATTCTAGAGTCTCTTGGGGATTATTCCTCTTCATTTTACTTTGTTGACTTTCAGAAACAAATTTTGGTTTTCAAAGCAATAATGTATGTGACACTTAGCAGGGCAACAACAGTGAGTGCTGTCAGATGGGGCCCCCTTAGGGAGGTGTCCTACTGTCATTTTGGGGCACTGCTTTGGTTTACATTTGTGAGCCCTGAGGGGCCCCTACTGGTCTGGGGCCCCAAGCAGTTGGGGCACACACACACAGACTCCAAAATAAACAGGCAGGAGAATAATGTATAACTCAAAAGAAGATATACAATGAAAAACAAGTGTTTTGGGGAAAGTCTTATGCTGTCAATATCAACCTGTTACACTGACAGAGTATGAGGTTTTTGTTTTTCAACATCGGTTTTCCTTTTATTCCAGGATTCAGCCCAAAACTTCAATTCACCATCAATGATGAGCCGGAGCCCAGAGTGGGGCGGAGTCAGTACAGGAATGCAGCATATAGACAATGTGTGTTATGGAAAATCAACAGGAGAGATACAACAAGTCACAATATACATGGGTAACACTTTACAATAAGGTACACACATTTTGCATACTTACTGGGAGACGAATGGGAAACTAACCACTAGATATAATCCAGAGTGCATATGTGAAAAGGGCTCTAGGTAACCATTAGTTAACAGGTAGATTTGTGTGGTTTATCCAGCTTTCATTATCCGTTAAATAATAATTCACTACTCTACAACATGTGATGAAGAAGTACTCAATATCTACCCAGTACTGAGTGGTTTTCTAATGGTTACTTGAAACTTTAATCACGTTATTTTTGCATTTCAGCATGAGCATACAAAATAAAGTTTGGGTTTGGTGCTACATTACACAAATTTCCTACCAACATAACTTGAACTGCTCTTCTGCTGTTGCTCGTTTGGAGCGACAAGTGGTTCATCCATGCCATGATTGATGGTTAGTCTTTCACTGTGCCAAGACACACATGATCAGAACATGTGCTGCTGTGAAATGTTCTTATTCTTCCTGACACAATAAGTGTATAAAAGGCTCAGACAGTAGGTGGCCTTCCTGTTAATTGCTCACGCTCCTCCTGCATGTTGATGACGTAAGCATCTCAAGCTTTTTGCTTCTGCCTTTTCCTTTTCAGTCGCTACATAACACATGACTGTTGACTCTGTTTGAACTGTCTGTATTGTTTAAAAATGATTGTATATGTATAATGGCTGAATAAAAGACTCATACATACATGATCAGTTTGCCAGCGTGCGTGTGTTTGGCGAGGAGAGCGGCAGATTATAAATTCACCGTACTCTGCAACATGATGATGAATCAGTTTATGGACGCCATCTTGTAATACTCTTAGTTCACCAGCAGATGGCGCCTGTGCTAGTTGTAAACCCAGGCAGTAAAGTGTATGTGAAGTTGTTAATCTGTCTAAAGAGCTAATTTCTTTCATTTATGTTCATTGAACTCGAATATTTCTGCCAAATAACTTACTCTAATAATTGTCAGACGCTTATGATCTGACAAGGCTTAAATTTCTAGCTCCGTCCTCCTAATAGTTTAGAACTGAAGAA